AAGTGGGAGGATTGCCAGAGGCCAGAAGTTCAAGACAGCTTAGACAACATAATGAGATTCTATCTCTAAAAATAAAAAAAATTAGCCAAGCAGAGCAGCATGCTCTGTACTCACAGCTGCTCAGGAGGCTTGGGAAGCTGAGGTGTGAGGGTCACTTGAGGCCAAGAGTTTGAGACTAGCCTGGCAATATACCAGGCCCTTGTTTCAAAAAATAACAAATATTCTGGTGGACAGACAGGAATTAAATGAATACCTAAGAAAATATGTAGGACCGGTATAGAGACAGCCAGTCACTTTTTGTAGAAGGTGGGTGGCCTGTTGCTGCATGCTCAGCAGGCAGGTCAGGTTCCCATGCAGCCCTGCCTGTTGGTGTGTCATTTCTTTCTTTTTTTTTTAACCCATAGCTTGCTTGACAATGAGAAATTGCTTGCTTTGAGAAATTAAAAAATCTCTTCTGAGGGGAATTCAGAGTATTATAAAATTGTGAAAAAACTCAGTGAAGGGATAATAAATGATGCTGTTTTTACCTTAGAAAAAAATAATTTCCAACCCTTATGGAATTACTGCCCCCCATCTTTGATATTTGATTATATAGCACTGACCTTTATGCTGCTAATGTTGCATCATACATGTCTTGTGTCTTTCAGCAACTGAAGGTCATGTAAATTTGTTCTGACAAGTTTATCAAGCCCCATGAGATAGAAGGGTGGTATTCAGTTGTTGAAAGTAGTGAAATACTGCTGGACTGAATGCAGAGGCAGTCCAGGGTCCCCCTTTCTCTGCCCCCAGCATTGAGGGTTTTTTTTGTTTTTTTGAGGCAGAGTCTCACTATGTCACCCTGGGTAGAATGCCATGGCATTACAGCTGATACCAACCTTAAACTCTTAGGCTTAAGCAATTCTCTTACCTCAGCCTGCCAAGTAGCTGGGACTACAGGCACCTGCCACAGTGTCCACCTGGCTGTTTTTTTGGTTGTAGTTGTTAATGTTGTTTAGCAGCCCTGGGCCAGGCTTGAATCTGCCAGCCTGAGTGTATGCAATCATTCTTCTCTGCTGTGGGACGATGGAAATCTTATAGCCTGAAATCTGCGCTTTCCAGGTTAATATACAATTCTGTACCTTTGTTTATGCTCTTCCTCTGGTTGGATGCCATTTTATACTCCAAAGTCCAATCTTTTATCTCATCTCTTTCAGCAAAGCTTTTCCACTGGTTGGGTACATTCTTTACTTCAGTGTCCAACTTGTTATTAACCCCTTTTGCAAAGCCTTCCCCTAATACTTAGTTATGGTTTTATTTACCCTGAGTCTTATGATGCATGCCATGTGCTAGTGTTGTTCTGTAGTATGCACAAAAATTAGAATGTTGGAGATACTCACTCAGATGTTTGTTGAACTGAATTCTCTGGTCTAACAACAGCTTTCTGTTGAGATATCTTGGCTTATAGGCTAGGTTAAAGTTTTTTCTTGTCTCTTAGACTCAGAGTTTTTCTGGAGACATGTTAGATTTCTGACATTTATTGATCTGTGTTGATAGAGACCAAAAGTAGGCACTTCGAAGGAAGAAGGGGAAGACAGGAACTTAACACTAAACAGGTTGGCTAAGGATAAATATTCAGCAATTTATAGGAGAAGCTATGAATATTTATAGAGTTGGGGGTGTGTACATATATAGTAAGTAAACATGTAAGTGAACATGTCCTGTGTTCACTTTGTGGTAGAGTCTTACCGTTTAAATGCAATAAAATTAGGTTCTATCTGTTGAAACATGAAATGGGGCCAGGTATGGTGGCTCATGCCTGTACTCCTAGCACTTTGGGAGGCCGAGGCTTGAGGATCATTTGAGGTCAGGATT